TTTTTCAAAACTAATTGCATAGCATGGTGATAGAATGGTTTGTAAAGCGTTAAAAATGAGAGGAAAGGGTTTGTTTGAAGATGTTTATCAATTTAAAATATATTAATTAATTGAGAGAGTTGGAATTCGCAAATTGGATTTAATTAGAAAAGTTAATAAAAGACCCGCAGGTGATGAGGCTGAAAACGCCGCGGGGTTTGTGTTCCGAGTCTCGGGTACACAAATTCGGAATTTTTGTTTTTCTTTTTTTAAAATTCGGAATATTCAATCCTCCCAATGCGACAATAATACCGCATTCTATTTAATAAATCAGACAAATTGCTCACTTTTATATTTATATTTAATATTTTTTTCCTCGTCAATTGAAAATTGAGATGTAAAGAAGAAGAATAATAATAATAATGTTAAAAAGACATGCCTCACCTAAAAATTACCCTATTCCATTCACGGCCATGTCCACCCACCACAGCAGTAGTGTGGGACCCTCTACCAATATTCCCTTTTTTATAACTGTAACTTCAACAAAATAATAATAATAATGATGATAAATAGAATTGAAGTTTAATGAAGGAAGGAATAAAAAAGAAAATGTTGAGAGGGACTGAACATACGTTAGTGGAAGGTTTTGTAACAATTGGAATGGGGAAAGAAGGGGAGAGAGACCCAATGGGAGCACGTGACCTGCCGATGCACTCACCTTTTCTTTTTCGCATGGCCAAAAGGAAAAAGGCGGAGCCATGGGCATCGGGCATCGGGCATCGGGCATCGGGCATCGGACACTCCCCCGTGCCCATACCCATACTACCCATACTACCCATACTACCCATACTACCCACTCCCACAGTTCTTCTTTCATTCCAAATCCCTTTTCTCTAAAGCTACACCATTTTTTTTTTCCAAAAAGCTGCAACTGCCTTTTTACATCTGTATTTGGGTCCGTCCTTGGCTGTTTCTCACGGTCTCTGTTTTCTTGTTTGTTTCTGCAGGGGTTGAGCTGAATGTGTTTTTACTGAACCAAGGTGCTTTCCTTCTCTTTTTTCTCCATCTTCATCTAAAGAAGAAGCAAGGGTATGGTTTTGGAGTCCCTGAGGAGACGACTCAAGCACCATTCACATTCGCCGCTCTCAGATCTCTAGGATCTCACAACTTCAACTTCCCACAACACTCTCGCTTTCTCTCACCTCACTCCCATTCATTCCTCTTCTCTTTTACTATGCTCATCCTTCATACATGCCACAACATGGGCTGAGTATTTACCCACGGAGAATTCATTATGGAACCACCTTTTCTGTTATGGAATCCGGTTTTTGTAGTTTTGGCACTCCTCCAAGTTTCTTCTGCTACGCTCTCTCCTTCTGGTGTGAACTACGAAGGTTAATCTCTCTTTGCTTCCTGTTTCCGCCTCCCAACATCTTACTTTTTATCCACTACCAACAACCCCATTTTTGTTTTGTTTTCTTTTGTTTTCTTTTGTTTTCATTGAGCAAGTTTAGTCCACCTATTTTGTGTTTCGGAATTCAAATTTGTGAGTCAGGCGATGAACTTACATTTTCATTCTTCTGGAAATCTGAACAGTCGTAGCTCTGATGGCCATAAAAAATGATTTAATAGATCCCCACAATGTCTTGGAGAATTGGGATTCTAATTCTGTGGATCCTTGTAGCTGGAGAATGGTCACCTGTTCTCCCGATGGATATGTTTCTGCTTTGTAAGTGTTCTTACTCCCTTACCTCCTTTTTGCTCATTGTTTCGTAGATTTGACCTCATACTAAAAGTTCAATTTATTATTTTGGGATTATTTGTTCTTGATTTTATAAACAGGGGGCTACCGAGCCAGAGTTTGTCTGGGGTCTTATCACCGGGGATTGGAAACCTCAGTAAGTTGGAATCAGTGTAAGCTTCTCCATTCTCCTTACACGAACCCCTGGTTTATGCACTTTGATTATTCAGTTAAAGTTCTACAAAGTTTCCGTATATTTTCTATCTAATGAAAGTAATTCCATGTGCTATCACAAATATATATGCAGGTTGCTTCAGAACAATGACATTTCAGGACCAATTCCTGCAACCATTGGAAAATTAGAGAACTTGCAGACTCTTGATCTCTCCAACAATGTATTCAGTGGTGTAATACCCAGTTCCCTCGGAGACTTGAAGAAGCTTAATTATTTGTAAGTTTTGTAATCTTTCTCTTGCTTTTCATTGAGCATTCATTCTGATCTTTGTCAACTGCCCATTATGTTTTTGAGCAAGGCAGGCGACTAAATAACAACAGCCTAACTGGACCTTGTCCTGAATCTCTATCCAAAGTTGAAGGTCTCACGCTTGTGTATGTTCTTTACCTCTCCATACCACTTTTCCAGTTGGGAGAAATATATATTCACGATTTTAGTTGAACTGATAGGGACCTTTCATACAACAACTTGAGTGGCTCCTTGCCCAAAATATCAGCAAGAACATTCAAGTGAGCTATTTTCTTTATCATATCTACAAATTCATGTCATCTTAATCAAGTAAAAAAATTTCAAAAACCTCAAGTAGTACTGTTTCTTTCGTTCAGAATTATTGGTAACCCTCTGAGCTGTGGTCCAAACAACTGTTCTGCTATCTTTCCAGAGCCCTTGTCGTTTGCTCCAGATGCTCTCGAAGGTGTGGGTCTGATGACTTCTATTTTATTTTTATTTGTTAACTCAACATATTGAAGCAGGTTTTTGATTGCTTGGGGTCTTTTTTCCTCAGGAAATTTGGGATTTGGTAAGAGCCATCGCAAGGCAATTGCTTTTGGGGCAAGTTTTAGTGCTGCTCTTATTGTATTAGTCCTTATTGGACTACTGGTTTGGTGGAGATACAGACACAACCAGCAGATCTTCTTTGATGTAAATGGTAAGTTTCTCCTTGCTCATTCATGGCATTTTGATTTAGTAGTATTTTATTCAGCAGGAAGAGAATTTTATGACAGAAATTGTTGTTGAGTTAATATAACATTAATGGAACAGATCAATATGACCCAGAGGTACGTTTGGGTCATTTGAGAAGGTACACATTCAAGGAACTTCGGGCAGCAACTGATCATTTCAACTCAAAGAATATTTTGGGTAGAGGTGGGTTTGGAATTGTGTTCAAGGGATGCTTAAATGATGGGACTCTGGTAGCGGTTAAAAGGTTGAAGGATTATAACACTGCCGGTGGGGAGATCCAATTTCAGACTGAAGTAGAGATGATAAGCTTAGCTGTGCACCGAAACCTTCTCAGGCTTTTTGGCTTCTGTTCTACTGAGAGTGAAAGACTGCTGGTTTACCCATTTATGCCCAATGGCAGCGTTGCATCTCGTCTAAGAGGTATGTTGCATGAAAACATATTGACACCTCTATAACACTGCTGGTGGCTATCAATTGCGTCTGGCTTAACAACTCAAGATATTGAATGTTCATATGGTTCCACATAGCTTGATGTGGCTGTTTACTTGGTTTTTAGAAAAGAAAAATTAAGCCGTGGGGCATTTCATAATCTTCAATCCCTTGTTTGTTTATCAGATCATATCCATGGGCAGCCGGCTCTAGATTGGGCAATGAGAAAGAGAATAGCGTTGGGCACAGCTAGAGGATTGGTGTACTTGCACGAGCAGTGTGACCCCAAAATTATCCATCGTGATGTGAAGGCCGCCAACATTCTCCTTGATGAAGACTTCGAGGCCGTGGTTGGAGACTTTGGGTTGGCCAAACTTTTGGATCACAGAGATTCTCACGTGACTACAGCGGTGCGTGGCACTGTTGGCCATATTGCTCCAGAGTACTTATCAACAGGACAATCGTCAGAAAAGACTGATGTTTTTGGGTTTGGAATCTTGCTTCTTGAGTTAATTACTGGTCAGAAGGCTCTGGATTTTGGTCGAGGCGCAAACCAGAAGGGTGTGATGCTTGATTGGGTAACTACTGCTCTAGCATCTCCTTGTTTTCATTATGTGCATGCCAACTACACTCGTGATAATTCAATCTATTAGTACTAGAAACCTGCATGTTTGGCTTCTTGGGTCTTGCATTGTTTTGATTAAACAAAGCCATGTGGAGTTCTTTAATTTTTCCTGTTAATATGTAATAGGTGAAAAGGTTGCACCAGGAAGGAAAGCTGAATATGATGGTGGATAAGGATCTAAGAAGCAACTACGACAGAGTTGAGCTAGAGGAAATGGTCCAGGTTGCCCTGTTATGCACTCAATTCAATCCTTCTCACCGACCCAAAATGTCTGAAGTACTAAAAATGTTGGAAGGCGATGGGTTAGCTGAGAAATGGGAAGCGTCACAGCACGTCGAGACGCCAAGATACCGACTGTGTGAGAAACCCCCTCAACTGTACTCAGATTATATAGAAGAATCTTCTTTGATCGTGGAAGCCATGGAGCTTTCAGGCCCCAGATGAGAGCCTTCATTTTCTTTCTTGTGTAGTTCCCTCTTACATCATTAACTTGCAGTTGCAGAGAAACAAGTGTGGTTTCATGCTTGTGTAATGCTCTTCTGTAAAAAGGAATGAGAGAGAGTAATGCATGCTCCTAAGGTGATTGTCGAGAAATTAATGTCCTAACATACGACCTTGCCAGAACAAAACGACATGTCGTTTGTTAATTTGTGCACAGAATACGGCCCAGCCCATATGGATGTTCAAGTGGGGCCCCATGCCCCGCCACGAACTGCATGCTCCGTCGTAATCGAGGTTAGAATGCAGAATGCTTGGACGTGGGATAAGATGATTGAACAAGGCGGAGGCGGAAGGGCCGGCTGTGGATACTACGATAAAACATGAGCGCATGTCGGCATGCGATCCGGTCCGAAGCATCATTGTCGAATTTACACGCGAGGATGCCGACTTGGGATTCATCGTTTCGTTTCATTATCTGCCAAAACTATTATATTATAGATAGACCCTAGTATATCCATCCAAATAAATTATGAAACGGGTTTAATGAACAATGCTGCTGTAATTCATTCGCATTCGTCATGGGTTAGAATTGCTTATTATATATTTATATATTATATATATAGTATTAAGGGGTTCGGAGTTTGACGTTTCTGCTGTCTCTGCCTCGCAGTTCATCGCTGATCTTTTCCCTCTTTTGCCGCTTTGTAAACCGTTAAAAAATAGAAACCAACTCCCTGAAGCTCCCCCTCTCTCTGGCGTTCAACCACCTTTATAATCCATTTTCCATCAAATCCTTCTTTCATTAAGGGTAGCCTCCACCGATTTAGGCCATGCTCCGCCGGAAGCTTGGATTCCCCGAGCAGATTTTATCGCCGAGGAGAAGACTTGTTCCTGGGTTTGGTCTTGGCATTGCCGTTCCTCTCATTGTTGTCGGCTTTCTTTGGCTCTACACTTCTTCTCATGTCAATTTCTTCTTCTCTCTTTCTAATCGCCCCACATCCGTGGCTTCCCTCTTTTCTTCCTTGTCTCTCCCCTTTTCTGATCTAACTGCTAATTCTTCCCAGCTGGGGACCTATGATGGCGACACACCAACCCTTGTGCCTGTTCCTCCCCATATGGCGTCATTGGTTCAGCCACTTGCCAATGGGAGCTTGCAACTTAACACCCATTCGCCAAATAGCTCCAAAATTTGGAATGCAACTTTGCCCCTTGAATCCAAAAATGTTACTGGAAATGGAACAATTTCTAGCCTAGCAAAGTTGGACACCCAGAAGATAACTGCAGATAATTTACCGTGTAACACCACGTCTTTGAACAACAATACTACTCAATACCAGAAAAAGAACAATCATTCTTCCAATGCTGAGGACAAGAGACCGTCCGAAGGTGATGGTGGGTCTCAACCAGTGGCAACATCAAATAACAGTTTTGATGAGGAATGTGATATCTTCGATGGTGGATGGGTGAGGGATGATTCGAAGCCATATTATCCTAAGGGTTCTTGCCCTTACATCGACAGGGACTTTGATTGTCATCTTAATAAGAGGCCAGACGATGGATATTTGAAATGGAAATGGCAGCCAAATGGGTGTAACATTCCAAGGTATTGCTTTAACCCAATCCCCTCGTCCTTAAATTACTTGCATGTTAGGTTCAATGGTTCATGAATGAATGAAAAATTAGTATGGTGTTTACAAACCTCTTTCCTAATACCCCTTTTGAATTCTGCTGCTTTCAGTCTGAACGCAACACATTTTCTAGAGGTGTTGAGGGGAAAGAGTTTGGTGTTTGTTGGGGATTCATTGAATAGGAACATGTGGGAGTCTCTGGTGTGCATTCTTCGTCATAGTATAAGCGACAAGAAAAGAGTGTATGAGATATCTGGAAGGACAGAGTTCAAGAAGAAGGGCTTCTACGCCTTCCGGTTCGAGGCAAGATTTCCATGATCTTCCATTCCAGTCAACCCATGCTTGTCATTTTCTAATGTTTTCAACTCACCTTTCCCTTTGTTGCATCTGCAGGACTATAACTGTTCTGTGGATTTTGTTAGTTCTTCATTCCTAGTTAGGGAGTCTTCATTCAAAAGAAAGAATGGAACCATCGAGACATTAAGATTGGATCAAATGGACCCAACCACCCAAATGTATAAGGATGCCGATGTTTTGGTGTTTAATACAGGCCATTGGTGGACTCATGAAAAAACATCGAGAGGGTATGTATTATACTCATCATTTTGATTCAATCCAACCTCTTGGGGATTTGTATTGAGAATGAACATTGTGTTTTAGAGAAGACTATTACCAAGAAGGTAACCATGTGCACCCAAGACTGAAGGTGTTGGACGCGTTTAAGAGGGCTCTCACCACTTGGGGTCGATGGGTCGACAACAATGTTGATAGAAATCGAACTCTGGTTTTCTTCAGAGGGTATTCATATTCTCATTTCAGGTATATAAAACGCTCTCCCTTTCCAGCTTCCAATCTGGAATATTGTTAGAAATGGTCTGAATATATGTTTGCAGTGGTGGGCAATGGAACTCCGGAGGGCAATGCAGCGGTGAAACAGAACCAATATATAACAAAACACAGTTGGGGAAGTACCCTAAGAAAATGAGGGCTGTGGAGTCTGTGATTCAGGAGATGAAAACGCCAGTGTGGTACTTAAACATCACCAGGCTCACTCATTATCGGAAGGATGCACACCCTTCAATTTATAGAATGAAGTACAAGACAGAAGCAGAAAAACGTGCCGGTCTCCGGGTTCAAGATTGCAGCCATTGGTGCTTGCCCGGCGTACCCGATACTTGGAACGAGCTGCTTTATGCCTCCCTTTTAAGGATGGCGAACAGATATTGGAGCAACTAAGCAAGTTTTATATGGATCAAATACTGTTTAATCGTTTAGGGTGTGAGCAGCAGAATGGTACATGGCTACAACTACAGTTGAGTGATAGATTACCTGAGGCGTGCAAATGTAGAGCAACAATAATGATGTATGTATTCTATAATTCCAAATCGTCCGAAATAGAAATGGATTTTTTTTATTCATTAACTTGTAGGTCATAAGACGACCCCATAAAGTGACTTGCCGGAATGCCGGAGCAAAATCCAAAGGCCAAGCAGAGAATGAAACTAAGTAGGCAGAGGGCATGGCTGATGGGTTTAGCTCAGGGATTTGAGGAGGAAGGTGAGACATTGGCATTGTATACCCTCACCGGATCTCCACTAGCTTTTCTTCAAGGGCTGTGGTCATGGTCCATGGACCAAGCCACAGCGCGACTGCCCCTATCTGATTCAACACCTCTTGGATTAGAAAAGCTGGGGGAGAAGCCGGGTTCTCCATTGTGGGTTTAAATACACGACCAACCTGGTACCCCATTATAATACTCCCACCCTTCCATTCCATTCGAAGCTGGATAAGCTCCAAACGATTCAAATTTGTGTGGAGCTTCCATTCCCAATTCACTAATCAAAATAATGCTCGACTCAGCCTACATTAAGAGCTCTCTTCAGAGCATTGGTTGGCTTTCACTAATATTGTGCGAATTTTAAAATTGGGATTTGGGCGTGAAGATTCTTGTTGTGGAAGAGGATCTTAATTAAGAAAAGGACAAAGAGCTCCTCCTCCTCCTCGGAATCGCACCCAGGGCCACTAATAAATAAAGAAAAGAATTATTGGGGGCGTTTTGGGCTGGGCCGGATTAGAGAGAAGGCATGAAAATGAAAGGGCTGGGCCGGATTAGAGAGAAGGCATGAAAATGAAAGGGCTGGGCCGGATTAGAGAGAAGGCATGAAAATGAAAGGGCTGGGCCGGATTAGAGAGAAGGCATGAAAATGAAAGGGCTGGGCCGGATTAGAGAGAAGGCATGAAAATGAAAGGGCTGGGCCGGATTAGAGAGAAGGCATGAAAACGAAAGGGCTGGGCCGGATTAGAGAGAAGGCATGAAAATGAAAGGGCTGGGCCGGATTAGAGAGAAGGCATGAAAATGAAAGGGCTGGGCCGGATTAGAGAGAAGGCATGAAAATGAAAGGGCTGGGCCGGATTAGAGAGAAGGCATGAAAATGAAAGGGCTGGGCCGGATTAGAGAGAAGGCATGAAAATGAAAGGGCTGGGCCGGATTAGAGAGAAGGCATGAAAATGAAAGGGCAGGAAGCAAACCCGATCCGTTGAATGGGGGGAATGAGTGGTGAGTAGAGAATCCGTAAAGGAAATGAAAAGCGGTTGGCGTTTAGAAAGCGTTATTAAGTATCGGTTTCAGGAGAGACAAGTAGGAGCTCAGCATTTTTCTGCCTTCTGCCTTCTGGCACCCTCCTCCCAGCATTTTTTATGACCTGAAATTCTGTCCTAACGAATTAAGAATTACAATATTATCCATTGTTTGGTCGGGTTAAGCAGATTAAGAAACAAACAAAGAAATGTGCCCATAATATTGACCAAAAACAGAGGCAACTGTGCGTTATTTGTAACTTAGCTTTACAACAACAGATAGGGGGGATGTTTCTTGCACCTTCTCTGTACCCTTTTCTGTAGACAATTTTGTGGTGTTCTTTGGTGGGCTGTCCACCCACACATACAACCGCTCATATTACCTGTCTAAAAATACTTGTTAAAATATAACAAATCAATGATTGGGAAAAAAAAGAAAGTAATTGATGAAAAGAGTAATGACAATAATTAAGAAGTGAGAAGGAGAGTTGAGAGCGGACAGGGGAAGCTCACTGTGGCGTGCTGCAGATTTATGATTACAACTGCACCCCGCATACTTAGGGGGGACACAGATCGTGGCCTTTGACTTTAGTCAATGCCCACTGCCCTCCATTTTCTTCGCCTCCACACTAATAAACCCTATTAAAAACTTTACTCTATGTGCACCTCCTCCTCAATTCAGAGATGGAAAGGATTATGTGCTCCTCCGTTTAGAGTTTTAAAATCGTAAGATTGACGATAGACTTAAGCTATTGCAAGAATAATTCCAAACATGAAAAGTTAAAATGAAACCTTTTGAAGCCAAGAAGAATAATTGAAATTTGTTGATGGTCACCGTTCCGACGATGTCGAGATGCTTAATTTTTGAGTTGGATCATCCCCTCTTGTTGAACATGAATTATTGATTGTGTGAGTTCAATTATTCACATCAATGCGTGATACACTGAACAGTAATGATAATAATTCCTGCAAGAAGTTGGATAAATGTAGAACAAGGAGTTTTGAAACCCTACATATATGTAGGAGTCAAAAAGGGAAAATGTTGATGAAGATAAAAACAGGAGGTGAAGTTAAATGAAACGAAAGTGATTTAGAATTGGGATGGGAAGAAGATTAAGATGTGTTGATGACGAGGAACCGAATGGGGCCTACGGAATTCATAAAGATAATATGAGAAGGTAGGAGGAGAGTAGAGAAGGGAGGGAGAGAGTAATGGTGCAGTGGGGAGGGCGAAGGGAGCGAGGAGGATGACTGGACAACTAATTAATAATATTAAAATTAAAAAAAAAATAATAATAATAAAATAAAACAAGAATTTCACATTGTTCACAAACTGCTACTCCGATACAGTAGCTCAGCTGGAGGGAAACCAGAATAGAATTAGCAGCTTTACTTACCTCCCCCTCTCCTCCTGTCCTCTTTCTTCCTTTCCTTTCCTGTCCTCTTTCTTCCTTTCCTTTCCTTTCCTATCCTGTCCTCTTTCTTCTATCCTATCCTAGCACCTATAGTTGAAATGGGGGAGAACACGTACGGCATGCGCTCCACTCCCCAATTCTCGCCCAACTCCTTCCTTTCACCCCACACTCCTATCCTTCCCCTCGATTACCCGGCCTTCCTTCCCTCCACCAACTACTTTCCCCGCGATCGGATTCCTGCGTTCGGATCCGATGAACTGCTTTCCGATGCTGAACCAACAACTTCCATCACTCCAGATTTTCCTCTCGCTCAAGATGTTCCCAGCGTCATCAAGGCCAAAATTCTCTCTCATCCTACCTATCCTCGTTTGCTTCACGCTTATATTGACTGCCACAAGGTGATCCAACTACTTCTTCCTATCTCTCTCCTTTTTTCTGTTCTCCACTTTCAATTGTGTTGCGCCCAACTATTGATTCACGACCATTCAATTACGTTCGGCTTCCAATTCTGACTCCTGTGAAATACAGTCGCGATGACTAATTTTGGTTTTCCAAGAACCGAGACTTATTTCCCGAACAAGAAAGGAAGACGGGGAAAAAGTAGCGGCGCCTGACAATTTCTAGCTCAACTTGAAACTGAAAGTAGAAATTGCCATTGTTTTTTTCTTTTATGTTCCCTTTTACTATTAATCAAACCTAGAAATTAAAAATCATCCGTGTGTCTGATTTTCACTGCAATTCTAATGGAATCTTCGATGATTTTTAACCAAAAGGTTTTCTGGTGCATCATAAACTAACTCGCTACCAATTTAATTTAATTATGTGTTTCTATTTTTGGGGTCAGGTTGGAGCTCCGCCGGAGATAGCTTGTTTGTTGGAGGAAATCCGGCGAGAAAATGACAGTCATAAACAAAACGCCATGTCCACGTGCTTCGGAGGCGATCCCGAGCTCGATGAGTTCATGGTAATGGTCCCCCCCCGCTCACTCGCCCGCCCACACGCAAACTTCGTGATTCTAACTAATTTGGCCATGGTGCTTTCTATTCTGTTCTATTCTATTCTAGTATAGCTGAAAACTGGTATTATCTCTCTCCGGATAGGAAACATACTGTGACATGCTGGTGAAGTATAAATCAGATCTGTCAAGGCCCTTTCGTGAAGCTTCCTCCTTCTTGAGTAACATCGAACTGCAACTTAGCAACCTCTGTGCTGGTGCCTCCACCAGAAGCTCCTCCAGTCAGTCTCTCTCCCTTTCTTTTTCTTTCAATAATCTCTTGTTTTCGCACTCTATTTCAACTTGTTTCTATTCGCCTACATTATTTTGACTTAATCTGAATCCCAAATGATTCATTATTAGGCCTTAGGAGAAAGAATACTAACCTCCGCGTCATGAACGAAACGGGTAGATGTAAAATGCTTAAGCAGCCACCAATTAGTCTCCCCAATCCGACCTATTCTGTCAATGTTTTTGATTTGCGGAATGCAAATCATGAACGCACTGAGACCCCCAAACAAAACTCGGAAGAATAGTATGGGGTGTTTCGCGTGGGGTAATAGAACACGAACAAACTGCGAACCCTAGTACAGAGAGACCCACGCCTTTGATTGCCCACGATTCTCGGGTCTTTTCCGGTGATTATTGCTTGCTCAGCGTTTTCCTTTTTGTACAATGGACATCATTATTTAAGCTTGGGGACTTTAAAACAACGCCTACCGAACTCTGGACCTTCCCAGTTTTCCTAAACCGTTTTCCTTTTCAGTTTAGTTTTGTTATCTGGGATGGGTATTGGTTTAATTTCATTACCCAGCCACGGTAAAAATGCTTTTTGTTGTTTTTATCCATTTTTTCCTTTTCTTTGTTTCTTACCTTTTCGAGGATAAGGCGGATGTAAAGAGGTTTCCGTACTAGAGATTCTGGTTTTGACTCTCGGATATTGGGGATGACTTTCCCGGGTAATGCTAATGCTAATGGTAATGGTATAGACTTATGGTCGGGGTGGTTGGTGACAATGATTAAATATGGGGTGCGAGTCTGGAGGGAACCTACCGAAGTGGGACTTGTGGCCTGTTTGGGTTAATCCCCTTCTTTTACTCGGCGTGTAATGCTGTTCCCATAAAAATATGGAAGGGTTTTTACCACCAAAATTTAAGATACGCACAGAGCTAAACAACTTCGACCACTCCCTCTGTCATCTATAAATGGGTGGAAGGCTCTCCTCCTGGTGCATGCTTGTTTAGTTGAATTTTAGTAGTCACACGCAGCACCAGTGTGGCAGGTGGTGTAGATTGTTGTTACCTTGGCATTATATGCTGGACGTTTTGTCACCTATTGTTTTTGGTAGAGGGTTAGAAAAATATATTTTGCTTCAACTTTTCCTTTTTACTGTTGTTTTATCACTTCAACATTTCCATACTTGAGATGTCCGTAGGACTGTATCAAACAG